AACTGTTAGTGTGTAAACATCATCAACTTACAAGCAACTTTTTTGAGGTCTACGTCAATACTTTGGAAATCTTTATTGCTATCTTATCGGTGGAGTAGATTTGTCACTTAAAACCTACAATCTCTCTACATGTGATAAGCTTCAAATGTTTAAAGAAAAATGAAATCAGCCACAAGAAAGCTTCAGAGTGATATAAATCAGCCAGTGAGATCTTCGAGTTTCAAGGAACAAGGAGAGACTGATTGAATAATAATCTCAAAGAAGGATGTAAGAAATTGCCCACTTTCGACTATCCTTGAATCTTGGTCTTTGGAAGCACTTGTGAATTTAGATGATTTAAGCAGTGGGCAAGATTCTAACAGAACTTTCTCGGCTAATGTCTCAGGGCTTTTGCCTTCGTCAGAGCCTGGAAAGCCGAATACATAAGCAGCTCATTCTTTCAGGCGCCAACAAAAAATGTTATTCGGAGAAAATGAGTCGCTTATGTCTTCGGCTTTTCAGGCTTTGACGTAAGCATAAGCGCCGAAATGTTAGCCAGGATAGGGTGTTAAAAAAACACAACTTTGCGAAATTACGCAAAATCTTAGAGATAGTTTATTTCTCATTTTGAACAATCGTTTCAGCAGCGAAAATGTTTTAAAAAACATTAACAACAATAAACATATTCACAGCCTCTTCTCATTCGAGAAAAATGCAAGTTTTCCAATCTGATAAGTTTGTTTTGAAATATAGATGCAGAAGCACATTAATCGAAAGATATTGGAAGATTGTTCTTTATTTGAAACACAGAGAAAAACAATTTTGGCATGGTGTAAATATGACCGCAAAATAATAAATTCATCGCGACTTCTTTTACGAATCACAACTTCTTCAGTAAATTTCATGCATGCTAAGCACTAGTACCATTCATTCAATCACGATCACATCCCTGTTTTTTTAGCGATCAAATCAGCTATTCTGATCCAAAAATGGTATCGTCGTTGTCAGGCTCGGTTAGAGGCGCGTCGGCGTGCCACATGGACGATATTCACAACATTGGAATATGCTGGAGAGCAGGATCAGTTGAAGGTAAGTGATGTATGGAAGAACGTTGAAACAACTCTCCTATAGCTGTACGACTTCTTCAGCGATGTGATCACCGCAATGGT